GTTACCCTGGTCAGGCTTCTGGGCTTGGGAGGTAAATGAAGGACTGGCTGATCCAGATCATCAGCAAACAGCTGGTGCTTAGTACTGTCAACATTCCCTCCCATTTACTTCCTTGTCTGCTATAAAGTGAGCAGCAGCGTCTCTGAGCCATTAGAACACCTGAACGCCAATGCGGTTCAGAGAAACTACGGAATGTTTCTTCTTTCAGTGAGAATTCCAAGTCAGTAAGAATTCAGTGAGAATTCCAAGTCTGCAAAGAGAGCGAATGCAGAGGGCCAACCACACCACGGAAAGCCCACCTATCCCCGAGTGGGATTGTTTCTGAGCCTTTTAGCAGCATCATGCAGGCCCTGGCAAGTCATTCCTACTGAGTACAGGAAACAACACACTTTTTCTTCCTGGTGGCTCCATCTGTCAGGATAGGCGAGGTTACGCTGCAATAACAACTCACCTCGGATTCCCATGGCTTACAACCATCAGGTTTGTGGCTTCCACAGAGGTTAGCTGAGGCTCTTTCCATGGCTGGAGGCCTGAGTCACATTCAGTGGGGAACCCTGGGTAACGGTGCCATCACTTTCTGGCAGGAGGCCAGGGGCTGGGCCTGAGGGACTGATGTTTCCTCACCAGCAACCGAAGGTTGAATCTTGTGACACATGTTATTTCCACTCCCAGCTCACTGGCCAGAAGTGGTCATTAGGCCACCACCCCACCACCCAAGGGTGCAGAAAGAGCACCCTTCCTCCGTGCCCAGAGGGCAGGAAGCCAGAAAGTCTCAGGTAGCCTGACTCCCGCAGTCTCCCAGGATTTGAAAACTCATAAACTTTCCTTTCTGTCCCAGTCTCAGATTCAGACCTCTTGCTGGTCTGGTGTTAATGAACTGGGACTCGTGAGTTTTGACCTTGCCAAGTTCCAAAGCAATTTAGAAGAAAAGTTACATCAACTTGAACAGCAACGGTTAGCTTAGGGGGAAAAATACAGTGGGGCCTTGACTGACGAGTGTCCCAACTAACGAGTTTTTCGAGATACAAGCCGTCTCTCGGCCGATTTTTTGCTTTGAGTTGCAAGCTAAAATTCGGGTTACGAGCCAGCTTCAGATACCCCACTGATAGTTGGTGCAGCGAACGTCACAGTGAACGCCACAACATCAGCCCAGCATCACGTGTCTCACTCGTTCACTTTAAGATTTGACATACGAGTAATTTGAGTTACGAGCTCCATCATGGAACGAATTAAACTCGTAAGTCAAGGCCCCACTGTATACAAATTATCCTTATCTGCCTAATGACACTGTGACACGTTTTCACCCTACTTTACTGAAAACTAAGACGACTGCATGTCTTTATAGAAGTCCTATAATTTTATAGTCTTGTTCGGCTGTCCAATAACAAAAGCCGATGGGAATGGAATGTTTCAAACTCTCTGGGAATAACTATTGCACAATCGTGGGTTCTATTTACCCAGAGCTCGCTGCCAACATGTCCTTTTACTAAGTGTTTAGCAAGGATTATCTCATGACATCCTCACCCACGAGGTAAGCCGTGACTATTCCCACTCTACAGAGGTGAAGCCTGAGGCCCAGAGGGGTTAAGCAACTTGCCCAAAGTCACCCAGCCAGAGAGCCCCATGTTATATTCCCTTCCTGTTTGCTAAAAAGCAAGATACTTGCTACAAATTAAGCCTAGTCTGTCCTCGGGGGGCAGCAGGTCCCTTGAGTGTAGAAGAGGGGCCTCTCTTGCAAAACGTGCCCCGCTCTGGAATTCTCCAGGGTTCAGAGGCAACACCTCCCTGCCCCCAGAGGTGTCTGGCTGCTGACGCTTGCAGGAAAAGCCAGCCTGGCACCAGATCTTTCCTTAAACCCCAGCAGCCAACACAGTATCCAAGAAAGCATGTGACTGAGCAGAAGCGAATGAGGCCTGTGTTCTCGCACACCCGGGAACAACAAGGCATGTGTGTGCGTACACACACACACACACACACACACACACCCCGTGGCTCCCAGCACCTATTTATTATCCAGCTTTATGCTGGAAACTCCCGGCTATTCATTTCTTTGTTTTTTCTGTCTGGCCTCACCCTTTCTGGGGAATGTACACAGACCACAAGGGTGGGGTAGGGAGGGGAGGGGAGGGGTGGGGAGGGGTGGGGGTACTAACGGCAAAGGGCAGAGAATGAAAAGGCTGTAGGGAGCTGCTGCTGAAAGGACTGCAAACCATGGGCAGGTGGGAGTGGGGTGACCTGGTGCAGGGGCTCTAACACCTCGGGCGCCACCAAATCTCCTCATGTCGAGGGCAGTGCAGGGCGGAGGCAGGGAGAGAGAAGAGGGAGCAGGTGGGGATGGAGGCAAGAGCTTGAAGGTGCAGATTCCCAGCCCACCCGGCCGGGAGTCTGAGTTTAGTAGGTCTGAAATGGGACTCAGGGAGTCTGTACTTTTTAAAAATATATATATTTTTAGTGATTTCAGAGAGGAAAGGAGAGGAAGAGAGACATAGGGGCCTGTACTTTCAGGAACGAGTGGCTCACACTCTCAGAAACAGTGATGAGGATTCCAGGTCTGGAGGAGGACTTGGGGTCACACTGTTACGGAGAAGAACATGCCCCGTCTTTCCCCGTCGCTAGGGGGAGTGAGGTTCTGGGGTGCCGCTGGAATAACCTTCCCGGGGGTCCCCGTGGAGGATGAGATTCGGGAAAAAGCTTTATTTCCGTGGAATGACGCCCCTGGGTTTCCAAAGCCCCATTCCCCTTAGTCCCATCCTGGAGGGGCCGCGGGAGCTTCAGGGGAGCTGGAGGCAATGCCGGGGTCCAGTTTCCCTTCCGTGTTGGAGCCGGGTCCAGTGCAGCATCAGGCTAGTTACCGCCCGTCAGTCCACTGTGTGTGGGGTCCATGGGGCCGTGGGCCTGTGGGCAAATGCAGGGAAGCAGGAGCAAAAGAGCTCACAAGCCCAGGCTCACACGAGTACTAAGAGAGCAAACTCCTTTGTTTGGGGCCTGAGTATTGAGGGTTTGCAGTGGCTTCTGCTCCCAGGTGTGACTGACAGTAAGCCCTAGGCCACCCCGGCTTTCCTGGGCATGTGTTTACCTTCCCTTTGCCCAGTGCCCTCCCCCCAGGGAACATGCCTATAATAGCTGGCCTTCCCTTCGCTCCTTTCCTATTATTAATAACTAGCTAATTATAATGGTGTCGATATCCTAGCTCGGCTGCAGACAGGCTGTGTGACCTTTGGGCAAAGGGCATATCCTTCGAGAGCTTTACTTTAACCATCGGTACGATGGGGACCCTCGTACATAAAGCATTTAGCACAGGCCAGCCGGTGTGGGCTGGGCATTGACCTGTGAACCAGGAGGTCACAGTTCGATTCCCAGTCAGGGCACGTGCCCAGGTTGTGGGCTCGATCCCCAGTAGGGGGCATGCAGGAGGCAGCTGATCAATGATTCTCTCTCACCATCGATGTTTCTGTCTCTCCCTCTGCTTTCCACTCAGAGATCAATTTAAAAAAGTATTAAAAAAAAAAAGAAAGAATTTAGGACATTGCCTGGCCCATAGTGAACAGGAAACAAACAATGGCTATTTTTATTATTCTCCTTTATCTCAGAGCCCCGATAGTCCTGGCAAAGATTTCAGAGGCCCCAACTCTCCATCAAACTCTGCTTTCATTGTGGAAATTGTGTCAGATAAAGTTTAGCTCAGTAACTGAAAGAGGAAATTAATCACAAATACCTCAGGATCCCTGGGGAAGGGACGGAGCCAGAAGGCACACTCCCCGAGCCAGTCTCTTCCTTAAGCATGTGATGAGAAGACAGGGACAAATATCTTCATTTCAGAGCCTCTGTTGGTGTTTCCTGTTGCTGGAAGGGTGTGCTGGGGAGAGGTTGTGGGGGCTGGAACCCTGCCTGGGGCAGAACTCTTTCCCGGGGGTGGGAGTGGGCAGAGCAGGTGGAATGTCTTTGGGGTGGAGGGGATGGTAGAGACCTGGGGCCACCCCGGCTGGCCCCATCTCAAGGGGTGGCTGCTGTTCAGGCTCCGCCCTAGTTACCGTCCATTAGTCCATTGTGTGGAGGGCAGACCTTTTGAGTCACCTGAGAGAAGGTAGAAAAGTCAGTTTAAGGGTGTAATTTCTAAATTCGTGCATGTTGCCTCTACTTCTAATTTTCTTTTAATTTTTTAAAATTGATTTCAGAGAGGAAGGGAGAGGGAGAAAGGGATAGAAACATCAGTGAAGAGAGAATGGTTTGATCAGCTGCCTCCTGCACGCCCCCTACTGGGGATCATGTGCCCTGACTGGGAATGGAACCGTGACCTCTTGGTTCATAGGTTGATGCTCAACCACTGAGCCACACTGACAGGGCTCCAGGTTTTAAAAACATCATGTAGACATAGGATCTAAGATGCCATTGATTGTAAGACATTCTGATATTTAATGAACTAATGAGGAAAGAGAGACCTGTTCATTAAATGATGACAAGCCATGGACTATAGGACTAATCTTAATCCCAGAGATGTCACAATGTGAAAAAATGTGTGTCTCGGGACCCGTGAAATACTGTGTATCAAAAGGCTGGAGTCGGCCTGGGGCACCTCGTGCAGTTTCCAACCTACACAGCTGTTCATGGCAGCGCCTATGACGCCAACCAGGTCACCAGGATGGCGGTTCAGTAGGCGTGTAGCCGGGGAAGGGGGGCTGCCTCATAATGGGTTCTGATCCCCGCCAGGGATGGGAGCCACCCAAAGGGGTCTCACACCGGCATCTGCATAGGCGCAGACAGGTGAAGGCACTGCCCAGCGTCACACAGCTGCGCAGAGCAGAGCCAGGCCAGGGCTCCACCCTCCTCACCCCTGTCCCCAGCGCCCCTTCCGAGGCTGACTGTAAAAGTACCTGCCGCCGTGCCCCACGGGGATTGGAGACAGGGGTCTCCGGGACTGACCAGGGAGACTTGTCCCCTCCCCTGTGTCATCCCTGCTGAGGCTCTAAGCCCTCCCTCACCCCCTAGAAAAAGCACCTTGATTTGATCCACAAGACTTTCCCATTTTATTAGTAAAATACAAAATGGCACAGACATTGGTGATGGGGTTGGGAAAGCAAAAGGATCAACCGTCTCCTTCTAAAGTCCTCCCCAAATTGTCCTTGTCCATGTCCCGTTGCGGGGGAGCTAACAAGGTCTGTGGGAAGGGGACCAGCTGCCCCAGCTGCTTTCTGACAAAGGAGGGGAACCCCATCATGGGTGCCCCTCCCCTTGAAGGCTCCCAGCTGGGAGGAGCCTGTAAAAGTGCATTCAGACCTGCTGTTTTCCCAAAAGTGCCCCCGACTCAAGCCAGGCCCAATCAGGGGGTGCCATGTCCAGCGGGGGGGTGCAGGCGGGCCTGGCCCTCCCTTTATGGACCAGAGCTGTGCCTGCTCCCTCTGAGCATCCGTCTGTAAAGGGATGTGTCACCTGTACCTGGAGGGGGCCCCACCCTTGGGAGGCTTCTCAGGTGGAGGGCAAGGGTCAGTCTTGGGGACAATCAGAGGGAGGTGGGGAGCTGCCATCAGGGACCCTGAGGGGCCGGGGGGCTGCAGGTCCAGCTCTGGGTGGGGTGCTGGCCAGCCACAGCTGCCAGCCTCACCCAGGCCTGCCTGCATCCTCAGCGGCCAAAAGGAACCCCTTAACCCCCCTCCCCATCCCCCACCCCACCCGCACACACAATTCCCTCCCCTCTCGGGTCCCTCCCCACAGGGCAGAGTTCCTTTCAGAATAAACACGGGACCTCAGGTGTCAGCAGTGGATTCTGAGCTCGTGGGAAACGTCATGGACACTCCTGGCCCTGCCAGCCGTGGGGGCAAAGGTGAGGGGAGGAGATAGCGTGCGGACAGGGAGCCAGAGAGGTGGCTGGGGAGCCCAGGCTGCAGGTAGAAAGACCAAAAGCTGGACCGAGTCCCTAACAGGGAGTGTGACTGCTCCCTGCAGTTTCTTCCTGGACCCTGCCCTGCCCTCCCTCCTCGCCCCCAGGCAGTGCCTCAGCCTTCCCCAGAGCCTGCAGGCTCCCCTCCTCCTTCAGCCTGTCACATGTCACCAGGGCCATCTCAGTGTTCCTGTGCTCCTGGTGGACACAGAAAGGGGCTGTTCTCCAAGTCAGGAAGGGACCTTTAAGATTGGTCTCTGCCCACCCCCCCGCCCCCCAAGTATCGCAGCCCAGCCCCCACTCTGGGGCCCACAGTGCTGACTCCCTCCAACAGGGCAGAGCTGGGCTGCCAGGCCCTCTGGGTCACAGGGCAGTGCCTGCCTCCCTGGCTGCTGGAGACTGGCTAAGGTGCTCTGTTGATGGCGGACGGTGAAGCTGTACCCAGGATCTGGGGACAGGGGCCTCTGGCCACGTAGGGATGCCCGTCGGGGTACAGGTCATTGCCACATATTTGCAGTCCTTGTGTCCTTTCACAGATGGGAAGCCAGAGGTGAGGATGCCTCGTCAGGTTGGTGGTGGGCCTGGGCCTAGAACCCCGGGCTTCACGTTCAGAGTCCATGTCCCCTCCCTGCTCAGCACAGACGGAGGAGGGAAGCAGTCTAAACAGCCAGGCGACTTCGTCTCCGGTTCCCACGGAGCCTAACTCGGCTGAGCCTTCGCTGAGAGCAGTGCCAGCAGACACCACGCCCGCCTCATGCAGGAAAAGACAGGTCCCGGCTAGGGCGTGGGCTCTGTACAGGGGGTGTGGGCTCTGTACAGGGGGCGGGGGGCTAGCACCGCAGGCGGCCGGGTGACTGGCGACTGCGGCGGGACCACAAGACGCGATGAGGTCGGAGGGGGTGTGCAGAAGGGCCTGGCCGAGACGCATTTGTGGAAGGGACGACCGTGGTACCTACATGGGGACACGAGCCGGAGGGGCTGAGACTTCAATAAATAATCATTTGTTGGGGCTGGGACGTGTCAAAGGGAACCTTTAAGCAGCCAGCAGCAAAAGAGTTCTCCGACTCGGGGGGCATTGGGGTGAGTTTCGGAGCCACCCCCTCTGCCTCCAGCAGGTCATGGATGGCCAAGGGGCCTCCTGTGTCTGCCAGGAATTGGGGGCAGTCCCCCCTGGGGGTCCTGCCTCCCTGCTTCCATCATCCCGGCTCGGGCCAGGCCCTTGGGGGAGAGGAGGAGTGAGGATGGGGGACCCCCGGCAGCTGTTTGAGTGGAACACCTGGACACAGGCAGGTGGGCCGCTCACACTGGCACCAGGACGTACGAGTTGCTGCCGCAGCCCCGGGGGATGTAGCGAAGCCCCTCCACCATGTCCCCCACCGCGCTGCGCGGACAGCCCTGGAGCCTCTGATAGGTGAACATGCCCACCCCCAGGCAGAAGAGGAGGCCGAGGAAGGCCAGCAGCCCCACCGCCTGCCTCCGGGTGGCCTCGGTGACGGGGGTGCTGAGGATGCCCAGCCTCTGGGGGTTCTTGGGTGTGGGGGCCCAGCTGCCTGTGGCCACTGGCTCCCTGCTGGGGGCCACGGAGACACGGGGCGTGCTGCCGGGCCCGGTAACAGCATCCGTGTGAGCTGAACTGGACCCTAGAGGGTTCTCCGGCGTGAGGTTCTGCCCGTGGTCTGGGGCTGTGTGTGAAATGGTGGGGGCCTGCGGGGAGGGGGCCTGGGAGGAGGGGGTATCGGTGGGGGGGGTCTGGGTGGAGCCGGCCTGGGTGGAGGGGGCCTGAGTGGAGGGGGCCTGAGTGGAGGGGATATCGGTGGGGAGGGTCTGGGTAGGGAGGGCCTGGGTGGAGGGGGCCTGGGTGGAGGGGGTATCGGTGGGGAGGGCCTGGGTGGAGGGGGCCTGGGTGGAGGGGGTCTGGGTGGAGGGGGTATCGGTGTGGAGGGCCTGGGTGGAGGGGGTCTGGGTGGAGGGGGTATCGGTGGGGAGGGCCTGGGTGGAGGGGGCCTGGGTGGAGGGGGTCTGGGTAGAGGCAGCTTCAAAGGCCTTTCCCTCAGTCCCGAGGTCCACTGTAGGCTGGTAAGAGCTCTGCCAGGACGTGGCAGTGGTGGTGGTGGCAGTGACGGTGGCAATGGTGGCAGCAGCAACACCGGAAAGCTCCGTTCTCTCGGGCCCACCTGAAGGCCCTCCATCCGGAGCCGGTGAGGTGGGGGCAGACAAGCGTGACCCCTGGCTGCTGCTTTCCGCAGTGGCCGTGGGCTCTGAGGCCGGAGACCGGTCTGTCCCCCTGGTGGACGGGGAAGTCTTGGGGTCGACCTGTCTCTCGTGGAAGGGAGAGGCCGTGCGGTTCAGATGCTGCATGGCTTTCTGCACCCAGTCCTCCTTGGGGTCCGCACAGAATGTCCTGTTCCCTTTGGTTGTCAAGCTGCGGGGACAGAAGACAGGGACCTGTGATGCCCAGGTGCCATGGAGTGGGTGGGGGTGCCATGCCATGCCCCGCAGGCGAGCAGACCGGCTGCAAGTCCTGCCCGGCCACTTGACTACTGGCCATGAGCTTAGCTGGGGGGCCGCGGCCCCTGGAACTTCTGTGTCCTCGCCTGGGAGGTGGAACTGTGATCCCTGCTCTCTGTGGGTGACCAGCCACCCAGACAACGGGGGCTGAGAGGGGTCCCGGGATGCAGGCCTCTTCGTGAGAGTCCAGGCAAACGGGGACCAGTGGGTCACCCTGCTTCTGTCTTATGATTATAAAAAACAAACATTTTGTAAAGCACTTGGCTCAGGCCCTGGCCGGTTGCTCAGTGGTCAACCGGTTAAATTCCTGGTCAAGGGCATGTACTTTGGCTGCAGGTTCAATCCCCGACCGGGACCACATCCCAGAGGCAGCCAGTTGATGTGTCTCTCTCACATTGATGTTTCTCTCTCTCTCTCTCTCTCTCTCTCTCTCTCTCTCTCTCTTCCCCCTCCCCCTCCTCTCTTCCTTTCACTCTCTAAAAATCAATAGAAAAAATATTATCGGTGAGGATTACCAAATAAATCATGCTCTTCAGCCCTTCCTTTTCTTTTTTTAAAGAAAAATAATTAAGCAAGCGAAAGAAAAACAAGGCCCCTGGCTTAGAGTAGATTCGTAACTGCTGAATAACAATCTTGCTAATATCTTACTAATATTGTCGTTGCCATTGAGGTGGGGGCTCTGGGCTGGGAGTCTTGGTTGGAGGGAGCGGTGACAGGTGTTCTCTGCCGCCAGGTGAGTGACTGGCAAGCTCCCTGGTGGGACCTCCTCACCCTGGAGAGGAACCGATGTCACAGGCCGTCTCCCTCTCCTCCCTCTGGACCGCTACCCTTCTCTCCTAGTGTGTGTGTGTCTTGGCTTGAAGACACAGTCATGTATATGGTGGCCACATTGGGGCCCTGAGTGCCACCAAACCTTGAGCGTCCTCTGAAGCCCGGTGTGGCTGGCTCGCTGCCGGACACGGCCCAGAGGCGACCGGCCCTTGCTCCGTGCGTGGCCTGCGCCTCTCACCCCTCCTGCAAGGTGGCTACCGCACTCATCCCTGTTTTGCAGAGAAAATCAAGCCTCCAGGGTAACAGGACCGCTTCCGGGGCCTGTGTGCTGGGCGCCACAGCTGTTCAGGAGGCCAGCGTGATCCTGTGCGGCCCCCCGGCTGAGACCCTCCCCGGTGCTTCCCGCTTCCCCTGCCCCTAGGAAACAGAAGCAAATATGTGGGGGAGCCCGGGGCAGCAAGCCTGGGTGGGGGTGTGGGGGCAGAGAGGGCTCCTGCAGCAACTGCACACTCGATGGGCGGTCGATAGGAGCGCACGGCTTCTTTGAGCTAAGCCTGCGTTTCAAGGGCCCACTGGCCACTCCTTTTTTAATATATTTTTATTGATTTCAGAGAGGAAGGGAAAGGGAGAGAGAGAGAGAGAAACATTAATGATGAGAGAGAATCATGGATCGGCTGCCTCCTGCACGCCTCCCACTGGGGATGGAGCCCGAAGTCTGGGCATGTGCCCTGACCAGGAATCAGACCGTGATCTCCTAGTTCATAGGGTAACGCTCAACCACTGAGCCACGCCGGCCGGGCCCACTTCCTGCTGCCAGGCCTCTGGGTCCTGCTGCACTGCTTTAGGGCCCACAGTCCTGAAGAAAGGCCTCCTGGATGGGCCACTGGGCAGTATCCAAGAGGGACCCCAAGCAGCCAAGGGGCCAGGGGTCCCCACGGCCGAGGGGAGCTTGGCTGGGCCCCTGCCCAGAGTCTCACAGAGATCCTGTTTCCTCGCCTGTCACATGGAGATGCCAATCTTACCACCACAGCTTCCGGGCGCCCTCTCAAGCGCGATAGTTACATTATCGCCTTTCATCCTCCCAACCACCCACTTTGCAGCGGGCGGGCGGGCGCTGTGACCAGGGCCACCAGCCTGCGAGTGGCCGAGCCAGGATTTGCCCTCACCTGTTGGATTCTGGAGTCTGCACTTCGAGACCCCCAGGCCGTACCTCCCCCAGGAAGCCCAGCAGGCTCCGGAGCTGCAGAGAACGTTCTTTGGCCCAGGAGAAGGGAGCCTTCGTGGCTGCTCCGGGCCACGGGCCATGCAGGAAGCCGCTCCCCACCTTGCTTGCGGCGCGGATATTAAGGTCAACGAGGGGGCAAGCAGGAGGCCCTTGGCCAGGAGCCCGGGTGGGGCTGGGAGGAGGTGAGCATGCATTATCAGAGGTCGGGGGCGGTCCCCAGGGCCTGACAGGGATGCAGAGGCGGAGAGGGTGGTACCTACATGATGGCAGGTGTGCGGCAAGATGCTTCCGTTGGTCGATAGCTCTTTAGGAGTCTCAGGGGGATCTCCCGGGTCATTGCCATTGCGTTGCACATGTCTCTGCATTTTCCGACACTGTGTTGCTGTCCTGAGCCCACAGAGGCCCCCAGTTAGCAGGACTGTCCAGGGGCACCTGGCTTCTCAGCCCCATGCCAGTTGGTCCCAGCCACACCATCCAAGAGCCAGTGCCCTGCACACCTGGCCTTCAAGACCCTTGACCTCAGCCCTCCACCCTGCCCCCCATCCCATCCATCCCTGACCAAACCTCTCCATACCTCAGTTTCCCCACCTGTAAAATAGGGACAATGATAGTATCTACCTCACAGGGTAAAGCTCTTATGGCCTGCCGCATAGTAAGTATTTAGCTTCAAGAATTAAGTCGCTATAATTGGTCTGTTGTAAACAGAGGGACCCAGTCTGAGACTGACAGGGATCTGCCAGAGCTCACATAGCCAGGAAGTGATAGGACAGGCTCTCCTACCAGGCCTGGCTCCCATCATGCTCCTGGGCCTGTGGTGCTGCCCATATGCCACTCTTGTTGCCTTTACCCCAGGAAGTCACCTGCTCAACTATCACCCCCCCCATACACCCCCTCACCCCTCCCTCTCAAGTGTCCATATTCATGGATTTCCACGACCTGAGACACACCCAGCCCTCTTGCCATCACATCTCATGTGCCTATCCGTGACATGCTCACACATACACACACACACAGCAACAAACACAATGGCATAGCCTATAGAATAAAAGGCTAATATGCAAATTGACCAAACAGCGGGATGACCGGTCGCTATGACACACACTGACCACCATGGGGCAGACGCTTAATGCAGGAGCTCAGCTCAGCCAAAAACCGGGTCATGGCTGGCGAGCATAGTGGTGGTGGCGGGACCCTCTCCCACCTCCTCAGCAGGCAGCGCTAAGGATGTCCAACTGCGGGCCTAAGCCATCAGTTGGACATCCCCTGAGGGCTCCCTGACTGTGAGAGGGTGCAGGCTGGGCTAAGGGACATGCCCCCCCCACCTGAGTGCATGAATTTCATGAGCTGGGCCTCTAGTACACACACACACACACACACACACACATAAAGGCATATATACAACCTGGCACATGTAGCAGATAATATAATAAAACATTTAAAATGTGTAAGTACAACCACCTCTAAGAACAGTGGGGAGGGGTCTGCTAAGTAGACCTGGCTGGTGTGGCTCAGTGGTTGAGCATTTTCCTATCCACCAGAAGGTCGGGATTCGATTCTGGTCAGGGCACATGCCAGGCTGGTGGACTTGATCCCCAGTAGGGGGCGTGCAGCAGGCAGCCGATTGATGTTTCTCTCTCACATGGAAGTTCCTTTCTCTGTGAGGAAGGGGGTGCCTGGGGTGGGAGCAGAGTTGGGGAAGCAGGGGTCTGCAGATGGCTGGCTACCAACCACATGGAGTCAGAGAGAAACCCCAAGACAGGATGAGGGTGACTCAACAGACACTTGAGAACTCAAATATTTTATATAAAACATTTGAAGTGGTTTGCATTGCATTCCCAACTCCCCCATTCTCCCCCCGCTAAAATCTTCAGTAAAATTTCTTTGTTTGGTGTAAGCTGGGCAGGGGTATGTAAAAAATGAGGAAGAGACTGAGTTTTAGTTCTGGGTCAAGGTCATATTCAGCAGAAGCAAGACCCTGGAAGGTTTTGCAAAAATTCAGAGTCAGGACTTACACACACACACACACAGGGGAGTAGAGAGAGCAGCTGATCTTGTCTAGCTCTGCAGGGCCCTGCAGGCCCCAGCTGGTGCCTGTGCTCCACCAAAACACACATTGCTCATGCACAGGTACATGTATGTAGATGTGCAAACATGCACCGGGGTGGGGAGGGGGGTGCTCCCAGCAGCTGCTCCCTGAGTCATGGGCTGGCTGCCTTTCTCTCTTGGGAAAGTCCCCTGGCTGCCTTGTCTCCCTCCTTCTCCCCCGGCAGGACCTCGAACCACCCAGCTGCAGCACCCCCAGGCCCTGGTGAGCCGAGCCAGGAGGCAGCTCCCTGGACTGGCCTGGCAGGTGTCTTTCTGGGAAAAGCCGCAGAGAAAAGGTGCCCCACTGGGCGGGAGGGGGGAGCTAGGTAAGGTCAGTTCGCTCTCTGGACTCAAGTTCCCGGAGGGGGAAGGCCACTGTCCACCTCGGGGGCTTTAAGGAGCCACAGAGTCAGCCTGTCCCCACAGCCCCCACCCTCTGCCACGGTGCCTGAATGCCCTTGGCCCGCTCTGCTCCAGGGCCTGCCCAGGGAAGGTTGGGTGACTAACTGAGGGGCCTATTTCCTTCTTGGAACTGAAGTTTTCTCTCCTGTCGATGGAGACAGTGCCTCCGGCCAGCCAGTCATTCATGATCTGTCACTTGAGTTTCAGGAGGGCGGGAGCTTGTCTGTCTCGGTGTCATAATGTCTTCCAGCACAAAGTGGATACTCAATAAAGATTCACTAAGTGAAATAATGCCTCAGTCTACTTATTCCTCTACCCCCTATCCATCCATCCATCCATCCATCCATCCATCCATCCATCCATCCATTCATCCATCCATTTATCTGCTCCCTCTTGTCAATCCTTTACTCATCCCACATCCACCCATGTCTACCTCCCACCCATTTCTGCTTACCCCATCCATCCATCTATGCAGCCCCCACTCACCCACTTACCACCTTTCATCTGCAACTCATCCTCCACCTCCTCTCATTTATCCACTCATCCATCCTTCATCAGCCCACTCACCTATCCTTCATCTATCCGTCCATCCATCCATTCATCCATCCACTCATTCATCCATTCACCCATTTATCCATCCATCCATCCATCCATCCATCCATCCATCCATCCATGTCCTGATTCAGCCACCATTTGTTTGAATTACTTTTGAATATCTACAAAGACCCAGGTCCTCTGTCCTTAACCCTGAACTTTCTCCCACAGGTACTGGTGCTGCGCTTGGAGAGAGAACCTCAATCCCAATAAATGCTATCAGGTCACTGTGTTGACACAACCAACAAATGCTAACCCTCCATCTTGCCGGGAATAGCGGGTTGAACAAAGCCTGCCGCTGCCTTCAGAAAGCTCCTAGCCTGATGAGCAGCTAAGGCATCCCACAAAGTACCAGAGAACTTCCTATCGGACCACCTACTGTGTCAGAGCCTGCGCTCAGCACACACACATCTGCTCTCATTAATTCTCAACAGCCCTGCCGAGGGTGTTGTTATCCCCGTTTCACAGATGCAGACGCTGAGAATCAGAGAGGCGAAATGACAGGCCCGAGGCCACACAGCTGCTTAGTGCCAGATCTGGTTGTCTTCCCAGGTCCTAGACACCCCACTTTTCCAGGGTGAAACACTGTGTTTCCACATATATCCCGATTGTGCTGAGGGTTACACGAGGGAGAGACCACTCCCTGCTACAAGTGATCCGGGAGGCTTCTTGGAGGAGGTGCCTCTAAGGCTTGTCCTCAAGGACTTCGAAGAGGCCACAGGCAGGAAGGGGCAGGAATGTTCTGGGTCTCTGAGTGAGGTGAAAGAGGGCTTGAGCCCATGCTAGGTGTGTGTCCTGGATGAGAGACACTTGGGCTGTCCGAGCCTCGATTCCCTGGCCTGTGAAATGGGCACAATAATCCCCGCTTCACAGGGTGGTTGTGAGAATAAAGCTTTTTCAATATCTGGACCCTCAGAACAGGGTTCCCTCAACAGCAAACACCTGACCTTTCGGACCAGGTAGCCCTCTGTCATGGGGCTGTCCTGTGTCCTGTAGGGCCTTTGGCAGCATCCCTGGCCTCTACCCTCTAGGTGGGAGCACCCCCCAACCAAAAATGGTGGGGCGTTTAGAACCACCAAAAATATCTCCAGAAATTGCCAGATATTCCCCTGGGGGCAAACCCTCACTGCGGACCACTGCCCTGGAGATATCCACATGCCCTACCCCGCCCTCCGTCCCCCCACACCCACCTGTCTCCCTCCCAACCTCCCTCAGTGCCCCCTCCTCAGGGAGGCCTCCCTGGCCCCTTACTTAAAATTTCAACCCTCCCTTCCCCCCCTTTTTTTAATCACAGCATTTTTTTCTCCTTCTAACAGATCAAATTGTTTACTGATCTATTTTGTGTGTTGTCTACCTTCACCAATCAATGTTCACGGCCCGAGGCCTGGGATCTTGGGCGGTTTTACTCATTGATCTTGTCTCAGCACCAAGAACAGTGCCTGGCACATAATAGGTGCCCAAGAAATAATTGTTGAATGAATCAGCAAAATGCACCCAGAAGCACCGTGTGACATAGACCATCTCAACCAATGGAGAAAGAGAGGCATTTTTATTTCAGTCCCATGGGGGCCTGGATCCGACACCCCGCATTTATCCTCCCGTGCCTTCCCCGTCCGCCCCTCACCGCTAAGCAGGGAGGCGGACTACAGCAGCTTAAAGCCGATTTTTTTTTTTTTTCCTCTTTCTTGCCGGGGCTTGAGTGGGAGTGAATGCGTCAGAGCTCAGGGAGAAAATTTCTGTGACTTGTGTCTGCAGGTTTGTTATGTAAAGCGGAGCCTTCTGCCTGGCACAGCCCCGCAAGCCCTCATTTGGGAACTGACGTAGCTGCCGGCACCCCCCCACCTCCCGCCCCCAGGGCCTCTCTGGCTTGTAGACCACCCCCCACCCCCGCCCCAGTCCTGCAGGGCTCCCAGGGGCTGCTCAGAGCCACACATGTCAGCGTGGGTAAGGACTCCGAGGGCGCCTGACCCAATGCCATCTTCCGGGAGGAGAAACAGGCTCAGAAAGGTCGAAATAACGCAAGTATCTCCCAGCAAAGTCAGGGACCGAGATTGGGACGGGAACCTGGTGGTCCTGGAGCCCTAGGCTGGGTCCCCTCTCCGCCCATCTTGGAGCCCCCCCCCACGCCCACCCCCGCCCCTGCACTGTTATAAATAATCCTCCTCCTCCTCCCACTTCCAAAACGCCCTCCGAAGCATCAGAACCTCAGGACGCAGAGGCAAGAACTCGATCTGGAGGTGCGGTGGCTGGGACCAAAGAGGGCAAGACCCCCTTCAGGTCATGGCAGAGCGCCTCCATCTGACTCCCCCTCCCCGGGCTCCCGATCCCCAAACACTTGGGGCTCTGGCCTCCGGCCCAGGAAGCAGGAAGCCAGCAACACTTGGCTTCCGACGCCTCCGCCACCTCCGCCACCTCCGCCACCTCCGCCACCCTTACCTGCCTCCTCCCTGTCCCACTGGTGTGTTCGCCCGGAGGTGTTCTGGAAGCTGGAGGCTGGTTCTCATTCTCCCAGACTCGCTGTGTGTCCTAAGGTGGGCTGCCACCCTCTCTGAGCTTCAACTTGCCAGGTGGCCTGGGTACTCCCCGAGGATGGGGCTGACTCAGGTGGCCACAGAGGCGTGAGAGGCAACCAGGCTCCCTCCTGCACCCAGCCCATCCTCTCCTGCCCTACTTGCCGGCCGGTACCCTCAGGCCGGTTTCTGAGCCCACCCTACCCATGGCAGGTGGGATGGATGAAGGATGCCCTGCCAGGTCCCAGGCTCCAGAAGGCAAGTGACTGGAGGCACCTTCCCTGGACCCTGCCTGGACCACCATTTTCTAATAAGCTGTGCTTGGAGGAGGAAGACCGTACAAGGGGGGAGATGGGACTACAGACCAGAGCAAGAGTGGTGAGCCCACCCCATGAGCTGCAATGACCTTGACATCCACGGGTCCTGGGGCCCGGACTCCTGGGGTGGCCTTGACATCAGGGCAGGAGAAAGTCCCAACTGTGGTCTAGCCCAGGGCCAGGCTGCGGCTCAGGACTTCGGGTTACATATTAACCCTGGTCCCACCGAGGCTCCTACCGGGCTGGAGCCACTTCCCCTGCTGGAGCCCCGGCCTCCTGATACCCACCTGGCCCCCTTGTGCCTCCCACGCCACCTCCCCCCGCGCTCCAAGCAGTAGCCGCCTTGCTCATTGAGCCAAATCTTTTCCTCATTGAGCCGCATCCCGCCCCCCCCCCAGCCCCGAGGCACATCCCTCAAGCGGGCCTGCCACAGACCTCAGCCTCACGTAGGAAGGGTCTGGTGCCCTGATGCCGGGCCTGAGGGGCAGGCGTGGGGCTGGGGCGCCCCCTCCCTGCTCATGCTACGCCCACCCCACTCACCGGCCAGCAGCAGGGCTAGATGGCAGAGGACAGCCAAGCGGAGCAGCCAGGACAGCGGATGCACAGCCATGGCCGAGGGCAGGCAGGGGTCCAGGCAGGTCCAGGTGAGGCGAGGCGGGGGCCAGGCGGGCACTGTGTCTCTAGCGCAAGGCGCTCCGGTTTTTCTAATGAGATCGCTGCCTCTGCTCTGTCTCCGCCCCTGGCTCCCCTGCAGGCGGGCGGGCGGTGGGAGGGGAGAGGCAGGCAGCCAGATTCCACAGGATGTTGCCTTAGAAACAGAGGGCCCAGGTCTTGGGGATCCTGGGCTGCTGCTCAGAATGGCTCCTCAAACCGGAACCTGCCCGGGAGGACTGCTCAGGTTCAAAGGGCCTCTTCTCTTCCCTTCTGCTGGTCACCTCCCTACCGGGAGCTGGACTCGCCCTTGGGTCTGGCCTGGGGCCCTAGCTCCTCCGCAGGCAATAAGCCAAGGGCAGGGGCCGAGGGATAGAGAATGCTGCCTGCGAGCAAACCGGAAGGGACCAGACTGGCAGGGCCCTGGTGGTCCTTTCTATGGATGGGGAAACTGAGGCATGCAGAAGTTAGGGAATTTCTTGAGGATCACCAGCCAGGAGGCGGGGGAGCCTGGATTTGCCCCAGTCAGTTGGCTCTGGGGTCCGAGCTCATGACCACCAGATGGCCCCCCCCCCTCTTCACCCCCACGTTGAGAACTGCTGTGAGGATTGAGTGAGTTTATACCCACAAGGTGCTGGTTTCAGAGCCTGGTGTGAAACAGGCGTCAAAACAGCACGGCTTTTCTTTGTTCAGCGGTCAGTGGTTCTCAACCTGTGGGTCGCGACCCCTTGGGCAGTCGAACGACCCTTTCACAGGGGTCGCCTAAGACCATCCTGCACATCAGATATTTACATTACGATTCATAACAGTAGCAACATTACAGTGATGAAGTAGCAACAAGAATGATTTTATGGTTGGGTCACAACATGAACTGTATTAAAGGATCGCAGCATTAGGAAGGTTGAGAACCACTGGTTCAGCCCTTGAGGGTGTCTCCTGCCCTCTTCTAGCCCAGTTTTTCCTCCCATAAAATTGGAATGGTCACCCCACCCACCTCATCAGGGTGTTAAAGACTAACTGTGTGTAGCTTGGCCGGCCCGTGTGGCTCAGAGGTCGACCTATGAACCAGGAGGTCACGGTTTGATTCCCACTCAGGGCCCATACGGCACAATCCCCAGTAGAGGTTTTGGGCTCAATCCCCAGTAGGGGGCATGCAGGAGGCAGCAGAAAAACGATTCTCTCTCATTCATGTTTCTATCTCTCTCTCCCTTCCTTTCGGAAATCAATACAAATATATTTTAAAAACGACAACGTTTCTCTCTCCACTCTCTCTAGAAATCCATGGAAAGAATATCCTCCGCTGAGGATTAAAAAAAGAAAGAAAAGACGAATGGTATTTAGATTCAATCCAGACCCAACAGCCAGGCTTTCCACTCAGCCAGGCCTGGAGTCAAACCGGACTCCACCTCCTATGAGGGGTGTCAACCGTGGGCAAGTGACTTAACCCGTTTGAGCCTCAGCCTCCCCACCTGTGAAATGGATGCAATAGTCACCTCATCAAATCAGCCGCTGGGGCAGTGAATACGGCTACGGACTTTCACCTAAGGCACGCAGAAGCGACTAGTGTTTGTTACTGAGCCCTGGTGCGTGCCTGGCATTGCGGTGGGCAAATCCATAAGCCAACGTCCTCGCCCCAAGGAGCCCCGGCTCAGCAGGGGGAAGCAGGTGCAGATCTGGGGGAGGGAGAGCCTTCATTCTTTTTTTAAAAAAAATATATTTTATTGATTATTTTACAGAGAAGAAGGGAGAGGGATAGAGAGTTAGAAACACCGATCAGCTGCCTCCTGCACACTCCCCACTGGGGATGTGCCCGCAACCAAGGTACAGGCCCTTGACCGGAATCGAACCTGGGACCCTTCAGTCCGCAGGCCGACGCTCTATCCACTGAGCCAAACCGGTTAGGGCGAGAGCCTTCATTCTTATGTCGGTGGCAGGGAAGGCAGGGTGAGAGAGGCGACGCTGAGACCGAGGGCCGAGCTTTGCTCTGTTCCTTTCACATTGTCATTTAGGAAACTTCTAGACAATACAGAAGAAATGGGACAAAGCATATCTCTACCACCTAAATTCAATGATTAGCATTTGTCCATCTTGGCTCCGACTCTTTTCCATTTCGAAGCGAATTATGGATGCCTGAGACTTTGCCCCGAAAGACATCAGCATGCATCTCCATAGTGTAAAGATAGTGTCTTTTATAAGTAAACTATTATCTCCCCCGAAAAATGAATAATAATTCCTCTATGTCCTGTAATTTTCAGTTAACATTAAATCTCTCCAATTGTCCCCCAAAATGTGTTTTATTGTTGCTTCTCCCTTCCTCTTTCCTCTTTCCCTCTTCCCTCCTTCTCTCCTTCCCTCCCTTCCTTCTCTCTTTCTTTTTTTAAAGTTTTGACCCAGGACTCAATCTAGATGTATGCATAGCGTAGGGTTATTTCTTTTTAGTCTGCAATGGCCCTCCCAACTCATTTTTCATGGCTTGACTCTCTGAAGAGTCAAAGCCATTGTCCTATACTCTGTTCTCTTTCTTAATTGATCTAATTATGTCCTTGTGAAGTCATCTAGCTTGTTCCCCTAACCTCCGTGTTTCCTGTAAACGGGGAGTTAGAGCCACGGGCTTGATTAGATCTCCGCCACTTTGGCAAGAATTCCCTGTGAGTAACACCGGGTTCTTCAAGCGGCATCTTACATCCATCAGCCTCTGACATGTTATTCTCCTAACAGATTTCCGCTGGAGGTGTCTGCTTCGTGATCATAAGTAACTCACCTGCCACACAGACCACTGCGGGCGGAGGGAAAGCCGCCCCAGGTGGGCAGTGCCGGACCTCTGCGGGCGGGAGTGGCCCGATGGCTTCGGCTCCGAGGAAGGATTGGGCAGAGAGGCTGCCCTGGACACTGAAGCTGGAGCAAGGGATGAGGATGCTGCTGGGCAGAGGAGCTGGGACAGCTCTGAACTGAGGCGTTAAGTAGAGCCACAGGGCGATTGACAAGTGGAGCCATTCGGCAATAAAAGAGATATTTAAAAAGAAAGAAACGAAGGGTGGAGCAGCAGGGGGCAGTAGGAAAGAGTGGGTGGCTCAGGGGTTGAGCCTCGACCTCTGAACCAGGAGATCACGGTTGGATTCTGGTTGAGGCCACAGGCCCGGGTTGTGGGCTTGATCCCCAATGTGGGGCGTGCAGGAGGCAGCCGATCAATCGTTCTCTCTCATCACTGATGTTTCTCTCTCTCTCTCCCTCTCTCTTCCTCTCGGAAATCAATAAAAACATATTTTTAAAAAACAAAGAGGGCTTCCTCTCAGGTCAGTGGGGTGAGGGGATGGGGGTGTCCCTGCCCACACCTTCCCGGGTGCCCCAGAGAGCAGGCAGCCGGCCCGTGTCTGTGGGACATGAGGGGTTCTCCCCCGGACCCGGGAAGCAGAACAGAAACAGCTGCGGGGCGCCTGGCAGGGAGCCCAGGGCACTCCTGCGGGTCCCAGAATGGGAGGAGCGGCGGGAGGGCCAGTGAGGTGGGGGCAGCCTGGCCTAGCCCTCCCCTGCCCCACCCAGCTCTGCCCAGCTCACATTCTGGCCCATAAGGAGGGCTGCCCCCATGCTCTCTGTGTGCACACACCCTTTTTATTGGGAAATATGGACAACATACACTTCACCGTTCTAACCATTTCTAAGGTTACCATTCAGCGGCATTAAGCACAGTCACACACGGTTGTGCAACCATCACCACATCCATCTCTAGAACTTGTTTTTTCTTGCAAAACTGAAACTCTGGGCCCATTCAATAACTCCCACCCCCTCCTCCCCAGCCCCGGAAACCACCACTCCTCTCTTTGTCTTGAACAATTCGACAGCTGCGGGAACCACACGGTATTTGTCCTTTGTGCCTGGCTCATTCCACTTACCATCACGCCTTCCAGGTCCATCCAGGCTGTAGCGGGAAGGAGTCTCCTTCCTTCTTCAGGCCAAATACTGTTTCCTTGCAGGTAGGCACCACATCTTGCTTATTCATCCACCCCTGGACGGGTGGTTTCCACCTTTTGCCTGTTGTGGGGAACGCTAAGGTAAACATGGGATATCTGTTAGAATCCCTGCTTTCAGTTCTTTTCTGTGTAGACCCAGAAGTGGAACTACTGGACCAGATGGCGATGCGATGTTCAATCTTTTGAGGAACCACCATGCGGTTTTCCACGGCGACTGCACCTTCTTACATTCCCACGGCCAACCCCAAGGGCTCCAATTTCTCCACGCCTTCGCCAGCCTTGTGCCGGAGACCAATTCCAGCATGACAGCGGGGCTGCATCTGGGAATGGCTGAGGGCATTTCCCCAAACCTGAATAGGATACATTAAACTGATTTCTTGGCTGCCAGACAGCTAAAGGGCATCTTTAATCTACATGTTATTGCCTCCTACTGGCCAAACACCTGAACTAGGCTAATTCCCCCGTTCTGACAATGGACTCTGTACCAAACCCTGACCCTTTGAAGTGTATATCTCTGCCTCTCCTCAGGATAAATTGTGTTAATAAAAAGCATGGGGTCCTGAGACGAGGAGACAGAGTGGTTCTCAACCTTCTGGCCCTTTAAATACAGTTCCTCATGTTGTAACCCAACCATAACATTATTTTCGTTGCTACTTCATCACTGTAATGTTGCTACTGTGATGAATCGTCATGTAAATATCTGATATGCAGGATGGTCTTCGGCGACCCCTGTGAAAGGGTCGTTCGACCGCCCAAGGGGCCGTGACCCACAGGTTGAGAACCGCTGCCTTAGAAGCTAAGACCTTACACTTAAGACCTTAGAACAGTGATGGCAAACCTATGACACGCGAACTCATTTTTTTGGTTGATTTTTCTTTGTTAAATGGCATTTAAATATATAAAATAAATATCAAAACTATAAGTCTTTGTTTTACTATGGTTGCAAATATCAAAAAAAAATTCTATATGTGACACGGCACCAGAGTTAAGTTAGGGCTTTTCAAAATGCTGACACGCCGAGCTCAAAAGGTTCGCCATCGCTGCCTTAGAACTTAGCTCCTTTAGCTAAGCTCCTCTGACTCCCAAATGCCTTTCAAAATTATGCTT